CGATGTCTTCGCCAAAGTTCTGCATAACACAAGTTGCAAACTGTTGGATATCAATTTCCATAAAGGGTGAAACAACAAACTGCGCTACTAAAGCCATTTCGTTGAAATCCTCAAAACGATTTTTAAAGTTATTCTTCAGGGTAGAAACTATTTCTACATGATATTTGCTGTCATAGGGTTCTAATGGATTTTGAAATATTTTTTCTGAAAGAATAGGAAAATGCATCGCTGTTAATTAGGTTTTGTACCCAAAACTCCAGCTTTTTAATAAATGCTTTTATATTAGAAATCATTTCCGCTAGTTCTTTGTCCCTCCCCTGCAGCTGCAAATTAAGTTCGTTTAATTTCTCTGTAATGTCCACGAGAAAACCAAAATCTCTAAGCCAGATTAAATATTCTTGTTCCAGAGTCGGTTCATCACGTTGTTTGAAAAATTTCCAGATAGGACATCATTAAAACGTTTCAGCACCCGTTCTCTACTTAACCATCAGACTTCAGACTGAAGGAGTAGGTCCCCTTATTGACAGTTAACTTCATCGGCCAAGGTTTTGAATAATCTTCTTTGTAACGCTTAGCTCTAATCTTGTTCACAATTTTTACCACCAATTTCATAACGTTGTTTAGTTTCAGGAAATTTCCACATAATGCTTGCTGATGGATAATACAGTGGTAACAGAGAAATTGCGGAAAAGTTTCATCTTTACGACATAACGCCATCAGACCCTTATCACAACCCACCATAGCTGGAGCGCCATCGGTTGTCAAGCCTACCATTTTCGATATTGGAATTTTCTCAGAAGAAATAATATTTTTTTATTAAGAAAACAACTCCTGTCCAGAAGTGTGTCCTTTCAGTGGAATAAGCTTCAAAAGATCTTCTTTAATCGTAAAATCACTAAAAACCATCCTGACGAACACGACCATCTGGGCAGTGTCAACGACATCTGTTGATTCATCCAGTTGAAGTGAAAAATAAACACAGTTATCTAAGTCAGTTCTTAACTGTAAAAAAATATCATGGCTCATTACTTCTACACGTCTCATCACTGTATTAGCAGAAAGTTGCATAGATTTTATAGCTGAAACTATCTCGTCTTTATTTCTAAAGTTGGCAAATAACGAATCAGCAGCTTCTAGAAACGCCTGTTTTATTATTTCCCCGTCTTCATAAGGTTTCTTTTTTGTGCAATTATCTGGGACACACGGTACGATGCTTCAGTTGCAGCCTTATTTTTGTCGACTGTTCTTAAAAATATTGATTATTGTCCAATTGACTGCTTTTTTAACTGTTTCAGTTTCTCCTTTCTGGCGGCAGAATGTAGTGGGAATGCTTTTTTAAAATTAGAATGTACAGTTTTATGATGTCTTTCAATATTTCCTTTTTTAGCAACGGAGGCCGAAGAATTACATAACAAACACACATATTTATCTTTAACTTCTGTAAAAAAGTATTTTTCTTCCCATTCCGAATGAAAGTGGTATGTCTTTACCTTCTTACAACTGCTTGCCATAATATTATTTTTTGTTGTTCTCTACTAACCCAACCGCTGGACGTTGGTTACGCGTTCAGTTTTAAACTAAGCGCAATGTCGCCGCGCCGTGCGTATTTATCCCGTTCAAAGCAATCCTGATCGTTCTCGAACACTAACGCGCTGGTCCGGCTGGTCGGTTCTAGCCGATTCTAGCTTGATGGCGTCAGCGGCAGATCGCTCACTGCAACATTGCCGCTGTTTACGTTTAATATTATGACAATTAGATTTTTTTGTGGAATTTTCGGAAGCTTCTCTGATTTTTGCAGTTTGTATTTTTTAAATTAAAATCGTTGTGAGAGCTACCAGAATTGCCTCCGCGAGCTACCGGTAGCTCGCGATCGACAGGTTGGCGACCACTGCTTTACACTGTCGTCGGAACTGAAGTCCAACCCAGAACTAGAAGAAATATCACTATTTTGAAGCACTTTACGCTTAACACCTTTTGAGCTCGTCAACGCCATATTGATACAAGTGTGGCTTGTTTCCTTCTTGCTTCTCAAAATACGCTTAAATGGCAATGCGCAATAACGAATTTATCACGCAGTGTTGCCAAAACGTAACTAATTTGCATAAAAACAGGGCTGGGGCTTGTTACCTTTATTGTAATAAATTCCTGTTATCGCAAGATTTTATGAATTGTGGCTTATTATACCCTCTTCCTCCAAGCCCTTCAATTATTATTAAAATAATTTTAAAATAACTAAGTTATGTTTGTTTTTTATTCTGGTTAAACACATTAGATCATTCAATTGACGCAAGGCATATTAGCTCAGGTGGTAGAGTATCAAACTTTATCAACTTTGCCATTTGGGACCTGGCGAGCGACCGCGTTCAAATCCTTGCGGGGGCAGAATTTTTTTTGTTTCTTAGTTTTTTTTTGTTTAGAAAATATGAAAATTAAATAAATACGATTATTGTTGATTATTTTTTTAAATACATTTTAATTATTATAGTAATAACCTGGTTTTACATTTTTTGATGAAAATATTTTTTGTGGTCGTAGGAAAAATATTGGATTTTTCACATTCTTTTGAAAAATGTCACTTTCCATACTCGTAATGTAATATACTATATTACTATCTTCATAGTGAATATACCCAGGCAGCACACTTTGGTATAAATTACGTATTTTTTTAGGTACTACCATACGTATGAATACGGTTGATGTACTACCAAATATATTCGTGAAAATGTCCGCCTTATAAACGTCGATTACTAAGAATTTATTCACCTATAATTAAACGTTTTAACTATACGTCTATATTAGATTTATAGTTGTAGTATATTTATACGAATTCACTTTGGTATTAAATACGTTTTTTTGTATACTACAATATACGTATGGATACTGTTGATATGCTACCCAATATATACGTGAAAATGTCCGCCCTATAAACGTATATTTTTTTATTTTTCATACGTCTAACATTACTACTTTATCTACCTTTAATTATCCCGTTTTACTATACGTCTATATTAGATATATTTGTATGATTTTTATTATTTTGTAAAATGCGTTTACCTGATACTGTTTTAAATGTATTTCAAACACAAATTAAATAAAGTGATCAAAACAAAATTTCTAAAAGAAGCCATGGAAAAATGTTAATATTTCTTAAATGATAGTTTGGATTTTATCCATAGCAGGTGTGTATATACCAGAAATAGGCATTACTCGTGTTTCTCTTTTGGTTGTAATTGGCCTAAATATTTAGAAAAATTTTTTGATCACTTGTTATATGTACAGAACAATATTTAATTAAAAAAAAAATAAACAATAAAATACTAAAAAATAAATAAATACAAAAAAATAAACACTAAAATACTGAATAACAAACTAAACGAAACATTTCTTTAACTAACAAAAAATATATATGAAAATAAAAATCTTAGCTTAACACTTTGGATGTGTTGTATCCTAGACGGGCCTTAGCTAACATAAGCTAATCTTGCATGGCTAATCGTTCGGTCGGTTAAGTCGCTTGGTTCACCCCCATTCCTTTAACCAAAATGAAACTAAATTTCAGGTGAAATATTTTCTAAAAACTCCGAAGTTAAATTTGTAATATTTTCTTGAAAATTATTATAAATAATAGAATCAGATGATATATTAATGTCCAAAGTCTTATTAATGTTCTCTTCATTGGAAATAAAAAAAATTGATTTGAGTTTAAAGCATCTTGAACATTTTGCGCTATTTTTCTACGTAGATGACGCAGAGACAGGGTTATTTTAGACATTTTATTAAATAAAAAACAACTGACCAAAAAAAAGGAAAATAAGTATGCTTGGAATAACTAGGTAACCTAAAACATACGTATAAAAATAAAAGAAACAAAAGTAAGGTTAGGTTTTGAAGTTTCTATAAGCATTAACACACTGTACGTACCTATAAAACAGTAGTTGTTGTAAAATGCAACAATTATTAAAGGAGTAGCTAAATTAAAACATTAATAGAAACTTACCTATGCTTTTAATCAATATCGTAAAAGCCAGGACGCCAAAGCAACATGTAACAAAACGTGTACACAAATTGAAATGGACCAACCGATGAACCTGCTCCCACAAACCGTTCCCTACACTAAACAATAATACTACACATACGCATGAGTAGGAATGAGAAAAGACCATACCACTAGTACGTCATCCTCCATCCGCCATCTAAAAATAGTTCCATGTGTATGGGGAATTTGTTATAAATATTACAGGTAATATAATTAAAAAAATATGGATGTAATGTAAATAAATATATCTATAAGCTTTTAATTTAAATAAACCTAAATATATACATATTATTTACTTCTGTCTACTAGTTCATTGTAAACTGGTATTATGCGATTAAGGACCGATTCCACCGTTGTGTTAAACGGAGATTAAAATGACATTGTTAATGTAAAAATGTCATTTTAAACTTCGTTTAACACAACGGTGGAATCGGTCCTAAGGTGACTTATATTTAAACGTAGAATAATATAGGTATATTAACTAGTATCGACAAACAAAAGCGTTTAATTTATCTGTTAAAAAAACGTTAAGTATAAAAATGGTAGATGGTAAACGTTTAAAAAATAAACCAAGACGAAATTTAAACGGGAATTATAAACGAAGAAAACATATTGTAATATAATGTTAATTTATACGAATTTAATTTAAATAAACCTAAACGTATATTTAGGCCCACTGTATATAAATAATTCATCGCAAACTAAAAATAGTCGTATATTGTTAACTATATTTAAACGTAGAAAAATTTAAAATTATATACCATAGGATGTATATAAAAAACGTATAATATATCGTTTAAAACACAGTATGTATAATAATCGTAAACTGTAAACGTATACGGAATCAACCAATACCAAAATTAAACGAGTATTACGTATAATATACGTTAGTTATACTAATGTGTGCTGCCTGGGTAGTATAACTAATTTAAAATGGTTTTTTTAAATTAATTTTGTTCTCTTTAGACGATAGCGACGCACATGGGCCTAGATACAAGAACACCGGTCACTTTATGGAAAGACAAAGCCTTAGTAGAAGCCAATTTAGCGGTCATATTTAGTTTCCAACAAAAAGAAGTCACCATCGTCGATCACCATACAGCCTCTGATTCGTTTATGAAACATTTAGAAAACGAGAATCGTTTAAGAAACGGATGTCCCGCTGATTGGGTGTGGATAGTGCCTCCCCTATCCGGTTCCGTATTACCAGTATTTCATCAAGAGATGGCTTTGTACTACTTAAAACCATCTTATGAATATCAAGTAAGCTTTTAATAGCCATATATGGCTTTTCTACTATTTATTACGGTATTATTTTAAACTTAACAGTAATGCTAAATGATGCAAACAACAGCGGAACAACACATCTTATATTATAGATAATGAAGCAAAGAAAGCAGGGCTACTATTGTAAGAACTTATTTACCCCTAAATTATAAATTGGGGCGCCTTTAAAAAAAACATGTATTTCTTAATAAAGCTGTTTTGTTCGTAACTAAAAGGCTACTAACTTCATTTTCTGCTAAAGTAAACCGGTAATAAAAATCAAGTAAAGCAAATTTGTATTTGTTGTTGCATTGGACGTAAAGGACCACGCACTTTTCTTATGCAAACGGGAGTACCGTCAAAATTTTTGAATTTTTAATATGTTAAATAACTTGATGTCCCCATCAAAAGTGTCCATGAGCCCAATCGTATCCTATGGCTAGATTTTATTATATTATTATATATGTATCTGTCCTCTTAATGGCAACAATAATGAAAAACGTTATTTGTGACTTCTGGGATATTTGTGACCATCCCAAAGGTATTTTTTTTTTGAGAAATTCTTTATTTTGTCCGAAACCGTTGATTTTTTAAGAATAAAAAAGAAATTTTTCATCGTTTGTAAATATTGTCTATAATCAATAAATATAAAGTCCAAAAAGAAGAGAAAAAAAAAATTCCAACGGATTTTTCTAGCATTTCCTATATTTAGTAATGTTAGAAACTAAAATTCTAATTATTTTATTGTGAACACTTGTAGTCATGTTAGATGGAATACCAACTTGAAAGTCGTCTGAGATGAAAGATGTAGCAAACACTGTAATTTAAAATATTTATGTTAACAGCAAAGTCTAAACTAGCTAATGGGAAAACAATATCATCGATATGAAGTTGTAACGAATTAAAAAAATTTCTTGGTTAAAAATAGCCTTTGTTAACTTGACAGCCAATAAATATTATCTTTTTTGCCACTGAAAAATAATATTTAACTGTTAAATTAATCTAATAACTTTAGGATGAAATGCACTTTTTTATGGTTGTTTTAATTTAAAATCTTTCAATTCTGAGATTGTTATTTTGATTTTGGCGCAATAGTGTTAGAATTGGAAGTCCTAATAGTTGATTCTGTAAATATAAATAGAAGTTAGGTGTCAACTTACATTTGTCTATTTTATATTATTTTCAAGACTCGACTACAAGTGCATAATTCATCAGGATTAATAGAATAGTAGCTGCCGTTTAGTGTAAAATAAAGTTTAAACCGTTAGACATTCGAAGTTAGGCTATAGTGCGTGTGATTTTACATCTCTAGTCATATCAAAGCCAAAATACAATGACATAAAAGTGCAATGCTGAGCTTTGTCAATAACATCTTTTTGTTTGACTTCAGAGTAACCGTATCTAAATTTTCCCATTTATTTAAACCTTTAGTTAATTCAAAAAAGTTACGTATTTGGCTAGCCCAAATATAACTTAATATGTACCAAATATATGAATTTTAAACAATAAATATATATTGATATAAGTAGATATTTTCAAGAGAAATATCTTATATTAAATATTTTGACATACTGTTTTAGATTAAGAATATACCCCTTGTACTATTTGCAAAGGGAAAAAAAATTCGTACTTACAGGGTGATCGCGGTTGAATATGTAAGTTAAATCAACAAAATGTTGAAATTGTTGCCAAAAAATAGAAAATAATTGTTGTTCATCAAAAAAATAGTATAAGTCCATATACAGGGTCATACTTTATTTCGGTACAAAAAGTTGATTATATGGTAGGTCTCAGTAGGATGTGCAGAAATGATTTGATCGGATTACAGGTTTATTTGGCTCGAGTATTGTCATAAGTGCCTCTTTGTATTGTATATTTAAATAAGATTATGAGCTCCATTCACGCCAGCAATGAGGTAAAGCCCTCAATACATTTTGTTTTAAGATTTACTTGCTTTCCTTGTTAAACTAAGACATGGATTGCCAGATGAGTTCATAAAATTACTTTTTAAATATTCATCCCGACAAGTCACTAGTATAGTCATATCTAATATCCGTATGTCCCTGCTTCAAAGATTTGTACCTAGTAATATTGAATTTAGATCAATAACCAGAGAAAACTATATTATAAATCATGTCCCTGAATTCGTAAACGCGCTTTACAACCCTATAGCAAATATTCCAAAGGCCATATTTTATGTCGATTGTACATATAACTCAATTGAAAAATGTAGTAATTTTAGAATATTACGTCAGTCCTATTGCTATTTTAAGAAGGAACATTTAGTTAAGACAGAAATTACAGTAGCTCCTGACGGATATATTTTATCAATCAATGGTCCCTATTTTTCTGATGCATCTAATAATGATGCAGCAATCTTACGGCAACAATTGGTTAATAATAATAATAAATTTAGAAACCGGATTACAGAAGAAGATATAGTAATAGTAGATAGAGGCTACAGAGATGTTATTCCTAGATTAGAAGAACTTGGGTTAATTACTTATATGCCACCTTTGCTTCATCAAAACCAACGGAAATTATTAACAAGTGAAGCTAATAGAGCGAGACTAATAACTAAAACTCATTGGGTAGTAGAAGCCAGAAATGGACATTTTAAATCCATTTTTAAATTTTTTAAAGGCCGCATATCCACTTATCATGCAGTTAATTCGAGTGGTTTTTATCAGATTGCAGGTGCGTTGTTAAATAAGTTTGATCCTCTTATTAACCTAACAGGTACAATGGACATAGCAGTTGAAATTTTAAACAAACTAGATGACGTTAATATCATATAAGCACGCGTCGAAGCCCAAAATCTGACTACCAGAAACGGTCGGTGGCGAAGATTGAACCACATGCATATTCCTGAATTTCCTCGCGTAGAGATCAATTACTTAAAAGACTTGGTAGGTTCTTACCATATTTATTTAAGTCCATCATATATTCAAGATAAACTACTAAGAGAGGAAAATAATGTTTTAGAAATAGACGAGTTTAGAGAAGAGAATAATTTTTTACGTTTTAGAATTTATTCTAGGTTCAGAAACGCAACTAAATATATGCTGTGGTTGGCATACGAAGAGGAACTTAATGAAAATATTGATCCAATTTTCTACTATTATTGTACATGTCCATGCGGTTCGAGAACTTTAAGTACTTGCGCACATAATGCACCAGTGTTATGGTTTTTTGGTTATGCAAGGCACCAGAATAATATAAGATTTCCAACAACACGTTTACTAAATAGCATCGATGATGCAGCAGACCGATTATTTCCAGAAAATATCGATCTCGGTCCCATAGTAGAAGATAATTAATTGGTATTACCATCTCGTATTTGCACCTAATACTTAACGTTAACGTCTTGGTTCAGTTACGTCAGTCATTCGGTCGTTTATCTTTAGTTCAGGCTGTTCTTTTAATTTAATATTTGACTTTTGTTTTCTTATATACCTTACAAAGTATCTGAATTTATATCTTTATTGTTTGTAATAAATTCAGTTGTCCTTTGTAATTGCTATTATTGTTATATTTTTACAAGTTATGAGAACATTAATAACAATGCCAAAAAAGAGAAAAGAGAATTGGGTGTTGTGAAAATTCTACGTACATACGTGCTAAACTTGATGCCAAAAAGACTTGCCAAAAATGTAATGATCTCTTTACATAAATAAGTAAGATATATGGAGATAAATGGAGAAATGGGTGGGTGGGTGGAACTCGAAGTGCGTCCGCCTCCTCGTGGTGAGTTCTGGGTTGATTTAACATTCAAAACCGGTTCTATTATCTTGTAGCTGCCCTAAACCTCTTGAGTTTTAAATCAAGCGAAGAGCTACACAGAACTGAATTTTTTTAGTTTTTTAATTTCTTACCCCTAAGGTCCCAGCTTAATATTTTATTTTTTCACTAATTTTTATATAGGGTGTAAACCACATAAAACACAATTTTTTCACACTAGCCTAAATTAATGTTTTTTGGTAATTTTTGACCTGCCCTATTATACAAGCAGTGCACTATTCCTACAGGGGCTAACACTTTACGCGGAAAGGAGATCCCAATCTGATATAAATATACAATATAAAGAGGCAATGCTCCAGTCAAAATAAACATTTATTCCGATCATTATTCATTTCCCTAGATCCTACTTATACCTACCGTATAATGAACTTTTTTTGTAATGCAATAATGTATGACCCTGTATGTAAACTAATAAGATTTTTTTTAATAAACAACTCGCAAGTTAAAAAGCAATTATTTTCTATTTTTTGCCAACAATTTCAGCATTTTGTTGATTTTTTCCTTTTACACATTCAATCGCAATCACCCTGTAATTACGATTTTTTTGTCTCTTTGAAAATAGTACAAGGGGTATATTCCAAATCTAAAACAGTATATCAAAATATTTAATATAAGATATTTCTCTTGAAAATATCTATTTTGTCAGTATATATTTATTGTTTAAAATTCATATATTTGGTACATATTAAGTTATATTTGGAAAACTAGTCATAGGATCTAATTTTACCAATAAGAATTTTGAACGAGTACATCGAGTACTATACTAGGTATATCAAATATTGAGAGACTTTGACGGTGATATTTTTTTTTGTATTTTAGCTATTTTTGTTCGGTGGGAATACCTACTTTGACCAAAAAAGATTTGCCAAATCATTATTCATCCTGTAAGGTAAAATATTTTAATTATAATAGTTAAGTATGTATTTTGGCTACACAGAATAAGCAAAGAACTTCCAAAAATATTTAAGGGTGTCCATTTTAAAGAATTAGGGATTTCTAACTTCAACGCGCTGTATCTCAAAATCTAGTCATAGGATACGATTGGGCTCATGGACACTTTTGATGGGGACATCAAGTTATTTAACATATCAAAAATTCAGACATTTTGACGGTACTCCCGTTTGCATAAGAAAAGTGCGTGGTCCTTTCTTTCTGGCAGTGCAAAGAAACTGAATCTCAACATGGGGAAGTGTCTAAAGCAGCAAGTATTGTTGCTACCGATAACAAAAAAGAAGAAGTTTGGAAAAAAGTATTAGAAGCTCCACAAGGGATATGAAAATGATAAAATTAACGTTAGTATAGAGGAAAATATACAAAAAAATAGTGTAGATGACCCTTGCAGATGGCCAAATGTGACAAACTCTGTCAAACTTATGGAACATGATCCACAAACATTTTAATTTGTCTGCGCTTTACTCTGTGTGTCGAGCCGTTGGCAACATTGATATTATTTGTTTCCTTCTCGAACCAATGTTAAATCTCTGTAGTTTTTGCTTCGATACTAGGAAATTAAAACTGGATAAATAACAATGTTTTTTATGTTTCAGGAATCCGCTTGGAAAACGCATGTGTGGCAAAAAGGAAGAGATTCTGGTAAAAGTAAGAAGCCACGTAGGAAATTTCATTTTAATCAAATTGCACGGTAAGTAATTTACACTGCTTTATATTCATTATAGTCCAGTACCTGAAGACCTAAAAATATGCAAAGCTGTCATTAAGTCGGTCCAGATTTCCTTTGTGGCTCAATTCTTAGGTCTTGACGGTTGCTATCAAGGGCGAAAACTTTTACCAACTCTGCTGCGTCGAAAAGGGCCCAAAATGGACCCTAAAACTGGTTTCCCGCCAATATCTTCCACAATATGCAAATTACAGAATTTTTGTCGGGAATTCGACAGGTTTCGAGATAACCGCAATCAAAAGTTCAGCGCCTTCTTTATCTCTATAGCAATGCTGATTAGCTTGTAAACGGGTGGACAAATTGTTTCAGAACTCGGTCAAAAATTGATATTTTTCGATGATTCAAAGTTCATTACAATGGGAAAACCCATAGGTATCGATCCATGTGCCTAGAAGCCCGTTATTTTTTGTCAAGAACATTGAAAAAGGGGTCAAAGTTGCGATTTCCCACTATTTTGGACCACTTTATAGTAATTCATTCATATTTTTTTTCTTTTAATAGTTTTTTATCCCATTTTTGTTTTAAATGGGATCTTGAGATGTCTTGTATGATCTCAAAAATTTTTTTCCAGTATCTTCCTGGCGTTTTAAAACAAAATTGATTTGTTTATTTGCATTTTTCATACGTTTTCGGAGTTCTAGATATCTTTGAAACAAGCAGTAATTAAAAACTCATATATCATTATATTGTTATTTAATGCACACCATTTTCAAGCTTAGAGCAGTGGTCGCCAAGCTGTCGATCGCGAGCTACCGGTAGCTCGCGGAGGTAATTCTAGTAGCTCTCACAACGACTTTAATTTAAAAAATACAAACTGCAAAAATCAGAGAAGCTTCCGAAAATTCCACAAAAAAATCTAATTGTCATAATATTAAACATAAACAGCGGCAACGTTGCGGTGAGCGATCTGCCGCTGATGCCATCAGGCTAGAATCGGCTAGAACCGACCAGCCGGACCAGCGCGTTAGTGTTCGAGAACGATCAGGATTGCTTTAAACGGGATAAATACGCACGGAGCGGCGACATTGCGATTAGTTTAAAACTGAACGCGTAACCAACGTCCAGCGGTTGCGTTAGTAGAGAACAACAAAAAATAATATTATGGCAAGCAGTTGTAAGAAGGTAAAGACATACCACTTTCATTCGGAATGGGAAGAAAAATACTTTTTTACAGAAGTTAAAGAAAAAAATGTGTGTTTGTTATGTAATTCTTCGGTCTCCGTTGCTAAAAAAGGAAATATTGAAAGACATCATAAAACCGTATATTCTAATTTTGAAAAATCATTCCCACTACATTCTGCCGCCAGAAAGGAGAAACTGAAACAGTTAAAAAAGCAGTTAATTGGACAACAATCAATATTTTTAAGAACAGTCGACAAAAATAAGGCTACAACTGAAGCATCGTACCGTGTGTCCCAGATAATTGCAGAAAAAAGAAACCTTATGAAGACGGGGAAATGATAAAACAGGCGTTTTAGAAGCTGCTGATTCGTTATTTGCCAACTTTAGAAATAAAGACGAGATAGTTTCAGCTATAAAATCTATGCAACTTTCTGCTAATACAGTGATGAGACATGTAGAAGTAATGAGCAATGATATTTTTTTACAATTAAGAACTGACTTAGATAACTGTGTTTATTTTTTCACTTCAACTGGATGAATCAACAGATGTCGTTGACACTGCCCAGATGGCCGTGTTCGTCAGGATGGTTTTTAGTGATTTTACGATTAAAGAAGATTTATTGAAGTTTATTCCACTGAAAGGACACACTACTGGACAGGAGTTGTTTTCTCATTTAACCCTTAACTACTGACACGGAGTCTACTAGACTCCCGCGTACCTGATTTATCTTCTTAGTCCCTCCATTATTTTTTCACACCGCTGCCGCCTTGAGTACCTTCCTAAACATTAGTGTTCTGTAACATACTGCACAAGCAGAATTGACCGAATAAATTAGTTCGAGTTATAATATCTAAGTATTCTCTCAGACTCCTTGTCAGTGTTAATACTACAATTACGCAGTAAGATTTTTTGATAAAGGCTTTGACTAAAACGTCATGCAATGGTACAATGAGCTAGAAAGTGATAATAGTGATACTGAAGCCAAGGCAAGTGTTTATATAGCAAGTAATCACAGTACATCTAAAATAGAACCCGAGAATACATTCTCGGATAGAACTAAGTAATAACGACTATATACCAAACAATCTGAATGTTTATGGAAGTGAAGTTATTAATTCGAGCAGTGAAGGAGAAGAAAAACAAAATCAAAAACGCGCAAAAAAAATTATTTCTATGAAAAAAATAGATGTAAATGGAGTATGGATGAACCTACAAGAAACGCCCGTGTCGCATCCAGTTCTGGATATCTGCAGTGCAAATTCCTATATTTTGTACTCCTCATTTCCAGACAACAATGAAACACGTTTTAATTTTGTAAAAAAATATGCCAGTCAACTGGTAGAGGGCCATATGCGCAATAGATTACAAACGTCTAACATACCACGCGAACTGAAATGTTCTATACATCGCATTTTGGACATTCTGGAAGTAGCACTTCCGGTTCCAGAAGGCCGCTTGAAAACGAAAAAATATTGCTACATATGCCATTCCAGAATAAGAAGAAAAACAGCATTCACGTGCGCGAAGTGCCATAAGCCCATATGCCTTCAATGTTCACATAAATGCTGTACTACTTGCTGTGTCGCTTTAGATGATTGAGGAAGTCTAATCATTGCTGGTTTTTTCAGTCTATATATTTCAGCTCTGTTTTTTGTTGTGACATTTAGTTATATAACTTATTCATATTGTAAAAAAATTATTTTGATTTTGTTATTACTCTTAAGAATGTTACACGCTTTATTTACACTTTTGTGAAAATATTGTTCTAATTTCATATTTTGTTTTTTAATGCCTTTAAAGTTACTTTGTAATCAATTTTTGTGGAATGTGTTATAATAAAATTTAAAACTAAGGTGCATGGTTTAATTATATGAAATACAAAGTAGCAAAAGCGATTAAGAATTTTGAAAAATAAATTTTTAAATTCGGAGTCTGTGAGACTCCGTGTCAGTATCTGTGTCCTAAAATTAGGTGCCCGTAGTTAAGGGTTAAAAAATATTATTTCTTTCGAGAAAATTCCAATATCGAAAATGGGAGGCTTGACAACCGATGGCGCTCCAGCTATGGTGGGTTGTGATAAGGGTCTGGTGGCGTTATGTCGTATAGATGAAACTTTTCCGCAATTTCTCTGTTACCACTGCATTATCCATCAGCAAGCATTATGTGGAAATTTCCTGAAACTAAAAAACCTTATGAAACTGGTGGTAAAAATTGTGAACAAGATTAGAGCTCAAGCGTTACAAAGAAGATTATTCAAAACCTTGGCCGATGAAGTTGACTGTCAATACGGGGACCTACTCCTTCACTCTGAAGTCCGATGGTTAAGTAGAGGACGGGTGCTAAAACGTTTTAATGATGTCCTATCTGGCATAGTTCAATTTTTCAAACAACGCGATGAACCGACTCCAGAACTAGAAAAGTCAATCTGGCTTAGAGATTTTAGTTTTCTCGTGGACATCACAGAGAAATTAAACGAACTTAATTTGCAGCTTCAGGGGAGAGACAAAGAACTAGCGGAAATGATTTTTGATACAAAAGCATTTATCAAAAAGCTGGAGTTTTGGGAATAAAACCGAATTAACAGCGATGCCAAGCATTTTCCTATTCTTTCAGAAAAAATATCTGAAAATCCATTAGAACCCTATGATAGCCAATATCATGTAGAAATAGTTTCTAGCCTAAAGAATAACTTCAAAAATTGTTTTAAGGATTTCAACGAAATGGCTTTAGTAGCGCAGTTTGTTGTTTCACCCTTTATAGAAATTGGTATCCAACAGTTTGCAACTTGTGTTATGCAGAACTTTGGCGAAGATATCGCTGCAACAGAAATGGAAGTAATTGAGTTTCAAAATGATTTAGACTTAAAATCGTTAGTCTCAAGTACCAAATGTATCTGGCCTATTATAAGTAAAGACAAATATTCAGTTCTATGCCGTGTTGCCTTGAAAGTTAAAGAATTATTCAGTTCAATCTATTTGTGTAAATCTTCTTTTTCCAATATGAAGTTTATTAAGAACAAATATCGCAATCGACTTACAGATGAACATTTGGATAATTGTATTCGAATGGCTGTATCAAATTATACTGCAAACATTAAAAAAATTATCGATGAGTCTGAGTGTCAGCCTTTTCATTGAACGTGCTTTTTTATTTTTCAATGTTTATGTTCATGATAGTGCGTTACATTTTTGTTGTTATTATTAACTATTTTTAAATCTTACGTGACATGCCGTTGTGGCTGGATAAAAGTTTGTGTTTATTTTTCAAACACCTTCGTTTGGTTGGTAGGTAGGTAGGTAGGAATGTAGCTATGAACAAGTACGTACTAGTAATATTAGTTATTTTGTTATTAGTTTATTATTAGTACCTATGTATTATGTATTACCAGTTAAATAGTAAAATAAATACATATAATGTTAAATTAACTGTGGATTATTTCATTTACGTTGCGTTACGTGGCTTCCGTGTGGTTAGCTCGCTGTTTATTCCAAAATTAACAAAGTAGCTCAACACATTGAGAGGTTGGCGACCTCTGTTTTAACTAATGCGCAGGTGCAGATATCCCTTGACGTTTACACTATAGTATACATTTTTGCTTGACACCCGGGCAGCCATTTTCCTGTCTACCCCACTTCATATTTATGGTTATGATCTAAACACATTTTAGAAACTTTTATAATGAGTTACTTTTTTTATTTTAAAATCTTTTTTAGATAATTTTGTAGTGTTATCATAAAAAGTACAACATTTTTCGCAATTTTTTCTTGAGATAAAATCGAGGAAATTGCATTTTTAATTTTTTTAGATCGTAAGCCCGAATGGTTTTTTAAATGTTCAAAAAGTGACTTTCTGGATTTTGCGGTCATATTAAAGTACACGTTATGCTCTATTCAATGGTACCAATATCTCGTTTTTTGAAAATAGTGCCCTTGTTGTTCACGGTCTAATTTTGGATTGCCTCCGATTTTAGACTCTCCAAAATATTAGTTTTCAATTTACTAACAATTCACTTAGTCCCCTACAGAATTTATTTCTAGAGCAGTTTTATTACAAATAGTACCCCATAATTCGTCGAGGTACTTTAGCATAAAATACTTTGACACTAATAATTATTTCAAGCAATAATTAGTTTCTTTATAAAATAATCTCAAGGGACGAAATATTTTCCTTCTACTTTAACGATTTCAAAATGATTAACGTTACCTTATTATTACTTTCAGTGCGGTCAAGTTTACATCGAAACTATTTGGAAAAGCGCTGTCTCGTCGCATCAAGGCCACAGTACTCTACGCCACAGAAACCGGAAAATCGGAAAACTATGCTAAAAAGTTGTGCGAACTATTCGGACACGCTTTTAATGCCCAGGTGTATTGCATGTCCGACTATGATATTTCTAGCATAGAGCACGAAGCCCTTCTTCTAGTGGTTACGTCGACGTTCGGAAACGGGGATCCTCCGGAAAATGGCGAGGTAAGAGGAATTTGTATCTTTTGTTTTACAACTAAATAACAGGTTTTATTATGGAATTCGAGAAATTTTTAAATATTTATTAAGGCATGTAAAAGTAATAAACAATTTAAAAGTGATCCTAAAAAATTCCTAGTAACTAAAGCTTTTTTTGAATTATGAAGACTATCTTGAATTTTTATATTTTTACTTTCCTATCTGTATACAGATATAAGGAAAGTATAGGAATCATGATTTTTTTCGACCTCGAGTTTTCGACGGATTTTTACGTTTTGAGGTCCCCTGAATCCGTTTTGACTATTTTCGCGATGATGTCTGTGTGTGTGTGTGTGTGTGTGTGTGTGTGTGTGTGTGTGTGTGTCTGTGTGTGTGTGTGTGTGTGTGTGTGTGTGTGTGTGTGTGTGTGTGTGTGTGTGTGTGTGTGTGTGTGTGTGTGTGTGTGTGTGTGTGTGTCTGTATAACGCATAACTCATGAACCGATACACAGAAAAACACCAAATTTTAAACTTAAGCTTTGTTTCAGCGTCTAATGAGCTGATTAGATTTTGGGCAGAGTCGGAACATTTGGGGGGGTACTTTATAGGTGGTCATTTTTATATTTTATGGAATATATCTGTTATTTACGTTTGGAGAAGAAAATTCTTTAAATAAAAGTTACTTCTAATATTATTATCTATAATTTTTGTTCTATACAAAATTTTCCTAAAATGGTCCGTATTCGAGAAATTTGACAAAATGTAAAAAAAATATTTTTTTATAAAAATTGTTCAAATAAAAGTTGTTTGTAATATAATTCTCTATAATTTTTATTCTCTACATAATTTCTCTAAAATGGACCGTATTCGAGATATTTGAGAAAATGTGTAAATTTCGAATTTTGAAAAAAACTCAAAAACGGATAAAGAAAAAACATTAAATTTTAAACTTAAGGTTTATTTCGGCCTGAAGTGAAATGATTAGATTTTGGACAAAGTCGGAACATCTGGGGGGGTACTTTATGGGAGGCCGTTTTTATATTTTATGGAATATATCTGTTATTTATGTTTGGAGAGGAAAATTGTTCAAATAAAAGTTACTTCTAATATTATTATCTGTAATTTTTGTTTTATGTAAAAATTTCCTGAAATGGTCCGTATTCGAGAAATTTGACAAAATGTGCAAAATTCTGATTTTTATTATGAAAGTTTTTGAAATAAAAGTTGTTTGCGATATCGATCTCTATAATTTTTGTTTATACATGATTTTTCTAAAATGGACCGTAATGAAAAAATTGTAGGAAATTAAAATTTTTCAGTATTTTCGTTTTCCATGAATATCTATAGAAAAATGTTTCGAGGTAGATGTATGTGGACAATGTATATATTTAGTTTATCCTCTAAACATTTATATAACTAGATAGGAAAGTCATGTGTTGGACACATCAGATTTTTTTGTTTTATCATTCAACTATAGGTAGTTTTTACAAATAGTATTTTTTATGACTATATTCCAATAAAATTCATAGTACAAACAAAAAGTCCTCATCTTTTAACTAAACTTCTAAAAAAATCCTCTTCATTATTCCACCAAGCTCCTAAGAAAAAGCTTATATATTTTTGTTATTTTTTTACAAACCATGTCCCTTCCAAAGATATGTGCAAAAAAAGACCATTTGCCGTAAAAAATTACATATTAAGCTTTAAAAAGACACAAAAAAAGGTCCTCTTCAAAAAAAGACGGTCCTTTTCAAAACAGGGCAGGTGGCAACCCTAATTACATGTTTATAGAATAGAATAGAATTTTATTTGTCATAAGTATTATACATAGAAAACAAAACACATTTTTTTAATGTATAAGTACTAACAGACTAGTCAATTTAAAATTAAAACAATATAATACAGATTAATTGCAATACATACACTTAAACTAACACAATAATATATTAGAGATAACAATTAAGGATTAAAATTAAGGAATTCCTCCACACTGTAAAATACATTTTTTGCTAAAAATACTTTAAGTTTATTCTTAAACTGTTTTATTTTGTCTATTTCGGGACTATTATTTTTATCTATTATGCTACTGAATTTATTATAGCATTTAATTCCAATATACTTGGGTGAATGTTGAGCAATTTCTAGGCGTGAGAAAGGTTGATGTATGTTAGTTTTTTGTCTAGTGTTATATGAATGTATGTTTTCGTTTTTGTTAAGAGTATGTTCATTTTCTTGAACGTACAATATTAATTGGTAGATGAAAAGACATGGTAGTGTTAGAATATCAGATTTTTCAAAAAGTGATTTGCATGATGTTGTGGGTGATACATTATATAAAGCTCTCATTACTTTTTTCTGTGCCACGAATGCTTTTTTGACGTGAGATGATGCACCCCAAAATATTAAACCATATTGAAGAGTAGACTGCACAAGTCCATAATAAAGAAGCTTTAATACATCAAAAGTCACAGTTTCTCTTAAGTTTCTAATAACATAGCAATGGGAGCATATTTTTTTAGTTACATTATCTATGTGAGCTTCCCACGTTAGCTTAGGGTCTAATGTAATTCCCAAAAATTTAACATTTTCACTATTTTGTATAGATTTACCATTAATATGTAAGTACGGTTCAAGATTTGGGGTGGTATTCTTGGGTAGAAAACGCATGAAGTTAGTTTTTGATACATTCAATGCCAGACCATTTTCTCTAGAATATTTGTTAAATTCAAAAGATGCATTATTGCTGCTTTGCACAAGGTGTTCAAATTGATGATCCGCCATAAGAATGTTTGTATCATCAGCATATTGGATAATCTGATGAGGACTGGTACAAAATTTATTGATATCACTAACAAATATTATAAAAAATACTGGCCCTAGTATTGATCCCTGCGGTACTCCCATTGTATATTTGAGAGGAGTTGATTTCTTGTTATCAGTTATAACTACTTGTGTTCTGTTTGATAAGTAAGATTTAGCCCAATCGTAAGGTTTTCCCCGTATTCCCATACCTTCTATTTTAAGTAACAAGAGATTATGATCCACCGTGTCAAATGCACGGCTCAGGTCATAGAAAAGTGCCAAAGTATTTTTCTTATCATTTAATGCACTATAAATAAAATCCAAACAAGCTGCCATAGCACTGGCAGTAGATTTTTTACTGCGGAATCCATTTTGAATTGCTGGTAGTAATTTAAAATGTTCAAGATAGTTTATAAGCCTTATAGAATACGCAGATTCAAAAATTTTTGTAATTTGACTTGGAATACAGATTAAACGATAATTGTTTATATCACTTGGTGAACCTTTATTTTTATAGATAGGAATTCCTTTAGACTGTTTTAATTCCGTAAAAACTCCGAATTTAAAAGATTCATTAATCAAATGAGATAAAGGTTCAGCAATGTGAGTGGCTACTGATCTTATGATTTTGCCGTTTCATATACAATATGGCAGAATTAAAACGTAAAAAACGATATAAGCAGATCAGGACCAACAATTGATAAAAAATTCGTCCTCACTTCATTACTACAAATTTTTTCTGTTTTTCTTTTTTCCTGTTTTCCTGTTTCCTGCTTTCCTGTTTTTCTTTTTTCCTGTTTCCTGCTTTCCTGTTTTCCCTTTTTTTCTTTATTCCTGTTTTCCCGTTTTCCCGTTTTCCCGTTTTCCCGTTTTCCCGTTTTTCCGTTTTTCCGTTTTCCCGTTTTCCCGTTTTCCCGTTTTCCTGTTTTCCGGTTTTCCTGTTTTCCCGTTTTCCCGTTTTCCCGTTTTCCCGTTTTCCCGTTTTCCCGTTTTCCCGTTTTCCCGTTTTCCCGTTTTCCCGTTTTCCCGTTTTCCCGTTTTCCCGTTTTCCCGTTTTCCCGTTTTCCCGTTTTCCCGTTTTCCCGTTTTCCCGTTTTCCCGTTTTCCCGTTTTCCCGTTTTCCCGTTTTCCCGTTTTCCCGTTTTCCCGTTTTCCTGTTTTCCTGTTTTCCTGTTTTCCTGTTTTCCTGTTTTCCTGTTTTCCTGTTTTCCTGTTTTCCTGTTTTCCTGTTTTCCTGTTTTCCTGTTTTCCTGTTTTCCTGTTTTCCTGTTTTCCTGTTTTCCTGTTTTCCTGTTTTCCTGTTTTCCTGTTTTCCTGTTTTCCTGTTTTCCTGTTTTCCTGTTTTCCTGTTTTCCTGTTTTCCTGTTTTCCTGTTTTCCTGTTTTCCTGACAAACAACATAATTAAAGAATATGAGAAAACTATGAAACAACAAGTTCAAAAAATAGAAGAATTAACAAAAGAAATAAAAAACATTAAATTAACAACAAATCACAACAGTCAAATACAAGAATCAGTTATTGGTAATATGAATAATAAAAACAAAGTTGAAAACACAACTGAAAATAGACAAATCAACAGCTACGCATCCGTTTCTGGAAGGGAATCAAATCAACAAAATGAGTACAAACAAATACCAAATATCTCAGTTACAAAAACAAATGCAAGTAACTCACTTAAGTCAAAACGACGTACTCAGGGACATTTACAAAACAAATATCTACAAAGTCCAAATTCCATAGGAAACAGTAATGGTAATATAACTCCCTCTAGAAATACAACAAACAATCTCATGGCGGACCAAGCTGAACAAATGACCAATATTATAAATATAAATAATGATGAGGGTGACAATTTCAAATTGGTAACTAAAAGAAATAGAAAACGTAAAATGGGAAGTGGTATGGGAGAAGGTGCTTTCCAGGGAAAAAATGAATCTTTAAGAAAGATATGGCTTTTTTTAACAAGAGTTCCTGAGACTGTTAAAGAAAGTGACATAAAAGCGTTTATACATAAAAAAACTAAAGAGGTACACCAAACTAGCATTGAAGATATAGAAGTGACAAAATTACATACAATCACAACAAAAAACAATAATCAGTCCTTTATGATTGGTGTAAATCCATGTCTGCAAGAAGATGTATATCAGTCAAATTTCTGGCCAAGAAAAATTGCATATGAAAGATTTGATTTTAGAAGAGGACAAAGATTTCTAAACTCCCAAAAGTCAGACCTAGAAGCTAGCCAACCAGGTTCGTTTTTAGATGGATATTGACATATTATTATTATTATTATTAGTTCCGACTTATTAGCTACCATACACTATGAACCTATAAATTTAAAAAAATGGTCTATTGAAGGTGATTTTGAGGTATGTGGTGTAAAAGTAAAATTAAATTTAAAACAATTTCTATATATTATTACCGTTTACAGACCTCCGGATTATGCTAATTTTGGGGGATTTATTGATCAAATAGAACTATTATTGCACAATGTTTATAGTAATAATAACTTATATGTTATCTGTGGAGACATTAATGTGGATTTTTTAAATCATAGTAAGCAAAAAATCAATTTAATTAATACTTTGCTTGGATTCAACATTAGACACCACATTAATGTTCCTACCAGAATAACGAGCACAACATCAACATGCATAGATAATTTTTTCACAAACTTTGATATAGATAATATGAAAGTATGCGAAACCTTTCTGTCTGACCACACATATCAGGTATGCTCTGTAAATTTACCATCCTCTTTTAATAATAACAAAGTCCAGTATATCCACAAACGAAACTTAGATGATCCTAATATATGCACCTGTAAAAATATTTTATCAAAAGAAAACTGGAATGAGATATACACAACTACTGATTTTCATGAAAAGTTTTCTATTTTTTATACAAGTTTTACATATTATTATGATATAACATTCACAAAAGTTAAGAAAAAAATCAAACCACAGAAACATAAGAATCTATTCTCACCTCAAATAAAAGAATTACATAACCATCTGTGCGAGATGAATAGGTTGAGAAAGGAAATAGATAACCCATATTATACTGAACGCTATAAAAAATTTAAGAAAGAATACCAAATTATAACAGAAAAATATTTAAAAGAGAAAAACAGCAATCGAATCCAAAATAGCAGCAACCGTATGAAAGAGAGCTGGAATATAATAAACGAAAATCTATTTTTCTTCTATTTTTCTTCTATTTTTCTTCTATTTTTCTTCTATTTTTCTTCTATTTTTCTTCTATTTTTCTTCTGTTTTTCTTCTATTTTTCTTCCATTTCTCTTCTAGTTTTCTGCTAGTTTTCTTCTAGTTTTCTTCTAGTTTTCTTCTAGTTTTCTTCTAGTTTTCTTCTAGTTTTCTTCTAGTTTTCTTCTAGTTTTCTTCTAGTTTTCTTCTAGTTTTCTTCTAGTTTTCTTCTAGTTTTCTTCTAGTTTTCTTCTAGTTTTCTTCTAGTTTTCTTCTAGTTTTCTTCTAGTTTTCTTCTAGTTTTCTTCTAGTTTTCTTCTAGTTTTCTTCTAGTTTTCTTCTAGTTTTCTTCTAGTTTTCTTCTAGTTTTCTTCTAGTTTTCTTCTAGTTTTCTTCTAGTTTTCTTCTAGTTTTCTTCTAGTTTTCTTCTAGTTTTCTTCTAGTTTTCTTCTAGTTTTCTTCTAGTTTTCTTCTAGTTTTCTTCTAGTTTTCTTCTAGTTTTCTTCTAGTTTTCTTCTAGTTTTCTTCTAGTTTTCTTCTAGTTTTCTTCTAGTTTTCTTCTAGTTTTCTTCTAGTTTTCTTCTAGTTTTCTTCTAGTTTTCTTCTAGTTTTCTTCTAGTTTTCTTCTAGTTTTCTTCTAGTTTTCTTCTAGTTTTCTTCTAGTTTTCTTCTAGTTTTCTTCTAGTTTTCTTCTAGTTTTCTTCTAGTTTTCTTCTAGTTTTCTTCTAGTTTTCTTCTAGTTTTCTTCTAGTTTTCTTCTAGTTTTCTTCTAGTTTTCTTCTAGTTTTCTTCTAGTTTTCTTCTAGTTTTCTTCTAGTTTTCTTCTAGTTTTCTTCTAGTTTTCTTCTAGTTTTCTTCTAGTTTTCTTCTAGTTTTCTTCTAGTTTTCTTCTAGTTTTCTTCTAGTTTTCTTCTAGTTTTCTTCTAGTTTTCTTCTAGTTTTCTTCTAGTTTTCTTCTAGTTTTCTTCTAGTTTTCTTCTAGTTTTCTTCTAGTTTTCTTCTAGTTTTCTTCTAGTTTTCTTCTAGTTTTCTTCTAGTTTTCTTCTAGTTTTCTTCTAGTTTTCTTCTAGTTTTCTTCTAGTTTTCTTCTAGTTTTCTTCTAGTTTTCTTCTAGTTTTCTTCTAGTTTTCTTCTAGTTTTCCTCTAGATTTCTTCTGGTTTTCTTCCAGTTTTTTAGTTTCGTTTTTCCCATTTTTCTGTTTTCCCGTTTTTTCTGTTTTCCAGTTTTTCCCTTTCTCCAGATTTGCCGGTTTTTCTGTTTTTTTTTTTTCAATTTTCCGTTGTTCCAATTTTCCGTGTTTCCAATTTTCCGTTTTTTCGTTTTTCCCTTTTTCTTTTTTCGTTTTTGATTCTCTTGTTTTTTTTTATTTCGGTTTTTCGTTTTTTTTCGTTTTTTTTTTCTTCGTATTTTTCGTTTTCCTACTTCCAATTTTTCCCTTTTCAGGTTTTTCTCGTATTTTCTGTTTTAAAGTTTTTTCCGTTTTTCCCGTTTTTTCCGTTTTCCTGTTTTCCCGTTTCTCCGCTTTCCTTTGTTTTTCTGTTTTTCGAGTTTCATGTTTTTTCCGCTTTTCGGTTTTTCCATTTTTCCATGTTTCCGTTTTTTTCCGTTTTTAAATTTCAGTTTATTTTTTGTTTTTTTTTTTCCTGTATTTTTTGTGGTTTTTTTAGTTTTCCGGTTTTTCGTGTTTTCTAGTTGTTCCCGTTTTGATCGTTTTTGTAGTTTTCCGTTTTTTTGTTATTCCTGTTTCAGTTTTCTTCATTTTATCGTTCTTTTTTCCATTTTTTTAGCCTTTCTAATTTTTTATTTTTACCGTCTGTTTCAATTTTTTATTTTTACCGTTTGTTTCGTTGTTTTTGCTTTTCGTTTTTGTTTTTTGTTATTTTCGTTTTTCCGTTTTTTATGATTTTTTCGTTTTTTCCATTTTTTTTTTTTTTTTCATTTTTCCGGTTTTCCATTTTTGCGTTTTTTCGTTTTTTCGTTTTTCCGTTTGTTTATTTTTCCGTTTTACCTTTTTCCGTGGTTTCCTTTTTTTCCGTTTGTTTATTTTTCCGTTTTATCTTTTTCCGTTGTTTCCTTTTTCAATTTTTCTGTTTTTCCGTTTTTAATTTTTTCATTTTTACCGTTTTTCTTTTTTTTTTCGTTTTTCCGTTTTTAAATTCTTCCGTTTTTTTTTCTTCTTATTTTTCCCGTTTTCCACTTTTCAGGTTTTTCTCGTTTTTTCTGTTTTCGAGTTTTTCTCGTTTTCCTGTTTTTTGCGCTTTCCTGTTTTCCCTTTTTTCCTCCTTCCTTTGTTTTTCTGTTTTTTCGTGTTTCATGTTTTTTCCATTTTTCCACTTTTTCGCTTTTCCGATTTTCCGTTTTTCCGTATTACCATTTTTCTGTTTTTTTTTTTCGCTTTTTCAGTTTTCTTCATTTTATCGTTCTTTTTTTCGAATTTTTTCCGCTTTTTTTTCCATTTTTTTTTAGCTTTTTTAATTTTTAATTTTTACCGTTTGTTTCGTTGTTTTTGTTTTTCGTTTTTGTTTTTTCTTATTTTCGTTCTTTTCGTTTTTCCGTTTTTCATGATTTTTTCGTTTTTTCCATTTTTTTTTTTTTCGTTTTTCTGGTTTTCCATTTTTGCGTTTTTTCGTTTTTCGGTTTGTTTATTTTCCGTTTTACCCTTTTCCGTTGTTTCCTATTTCAATTTTTCTGTTTTTCCGTTTTTAATTTTTTAATTTTTACCGTTTTTTTTTTCGTTTCTCCGTTTTTCAATTCTTTCGTTTTTTTTTCTTGTTTCTTTTTTTTTTTCATTTTATATTTTCTTACTACAAATTTACAATAATATTTAATTATATTTGTTACAGGAATTTGCTAGAAATTTATATACAATGAAAATGGCCGAGAATGGAATTTCACACCCTTCAAGTATCAAGTAAGTATTATTTTTACAGTAATAAATACATTGTATCTAGGTATAAAAATTGAAGATAAAAATTCCAACCATATTAAAATTATTTTATCGATATCTCTTTTAAAATAATTAATGTCATGTAACTCAATTTAAAATAATGAATTACATAAAAAATATATGAAGTGTACCAATTTTACATTGATATTATTTGTACTGATTGGTATATTTCAAAATATAAATATTTATTTTAATATTTTATTAATAACTCTTAATAATTCAAAGATTATTTTATCGTCTAATTCTTTTATTAAAAAACATATTCGAAATTCCTAAACTAATATTTTGATTCAGTATGGCTACATCGAAATCCTTCATTAAAGTCAACAGTCAAAGTGACATTCCATCAAAGAGCAAAAAATTAGATAGATTAAATTCTTTAAGAGGATCTCTTCTCAGCGAACCTCTTTTAGACGATAGTTTCGGACCCCTGAGTAATGTTAGGTAAGACAAGCATGACAACGAATGAAAATGCGAATTTATAATTGATGTTAAATAAAAGTAAATTTGATTTGAGCTACAAGCTTTTTAAAATGTGAATGTAATGAAAAATGTATGTACTTTTCACTGAACTTCCTTCCACCTATGGAATGTTATACGATACTGCCGACCTAATACAAAATGGCACAGCTCTGCGATGTTTAACAGCACTACAACGCATGCTCATTACTTATTTCATCTTTTATGTACGCATTTTATGTGAAACCAACTGTAACTTTTTACAAAAAGCACTAACTTTATCACTGGTATCCAACATATGTGTGTCTGCTCCTTGGAGCTGTATTTAGTTTCTCGAATATGTCGACTAAGTAACTCAATTTGTACCCATATCTTTACAAAGTGTATTAAAGATTCTTAATTTTAGTTTTGCCTTTGTTTCCACTGCCAACTAAATTTTGTATTACAATTTTATTTAACTTGTACTAGAAACATCTGTTAGAATTATTTAAAAGAACATTTTTTCATTCGAAACTATGCGGAATAGGAAATTTTTACAAGAGCAACAAAATGAAGTTAATTAACCAGTCTTCTTGCTTAAAAAATTTGATCGTATTACCATCCCTAAGAAAGATGTCAGGGTGTAAAGATGCTTTTAACTCTTCTACAATTTCTTTTAGGTTTATTTAATTACCGAAAGGAGAGTAATCCTCTAAAATGCATTAAAATTTTTTTTTACGTAAACTTTGGGCAAACGGTACATTTTTTAATATTGTTACGCAGGTTTTTAATATGTCAAATTTATTTTAACTTAACTTTAACTATGCAACTGATAACATTAACATGTAACGTCTATCATAAAACTAAAACTGACGTCAGTATCACTGACTTATACGGGCTTGCTTCATGGAAGTATAATACTAATGGAGATGCCATGATGCAATTGTTTTGCATATGATACGTTTTATTAAAAATGACCCCACTGGGCGTGGCTTAAATGGTTGACTAAGCAGGGTCGTATTCAAATATAATTAAAGTCCGTATGCAGAATTACAACTTTTAAATGACTTACTTACCTAAGATTTGTTTCAACATGATCGATTCGAAATTAATTTGATGACATTGCGCTTTTATGACTTCTACACTATTTACTATTATTTATTAACCGTTTTCCGACCAAGCCAATGCCAAGACCATAAAAGAGATTCATATTATTATATTGTTCTGTCTTCGCCGAAACCGTCCGATATGTGACCGGTGTGATCGAAAATCAACGTTCGAATAACACTGTGCATCAGATTTGTTAATCTCTTTGTGCTTTGAAACTAAAACCCGAACTACGATTTTTCGTTCAAGGACTCTCTTGTCTTGATCAAAGCTGCCAATGTCAAAATCTGACAATGAGGAGAATTATGACATCATAATTGTGAATAAATATATTTCAGTAAAAATACAGCCGAGTTTGTAGAAAGGACAATTAATTACTTTTAAATGTAAAACATGTAGGTCTTTCTGCTACAGAGGACATACATTAAAAATATGACCCGCTACAGTCAAAAGTTTAAAAAGACCAAAAATTCAGCTAGGTATGACTTTAAGGTTAAAAGTAGATGGAAGAAAACCATGATCAAAACTACTCTGTTAAAACCAATCGGAACTAAAAAGACTCAGATAATAGTTGTTGGTTTTATTTATGTTTGAAATAATTAATTATACAGTGCGTCCATAAAGTAACGCATACATTCATTATTGGCTAAATGAACAATAAAATTAGGAATTCCCAAAACAGGTCGATTTTTGATTTCAATTTACTATTGTTTCAAATCATAATCTAATATACAGGGTGAACCACTTTCGTGTAATGACGTCATCACCATTTTTTTCAAATGGAACCCCCCCTTTTTTTTCAATTTCCAAATTGCCTTTGCTGAGCTGATTCCAAAAATGTATAATATGTTGCTTCAAATTGGTACAGGGTGGGCAAAAATGCAAAAATTTACTTACAAAGTAATGAAAATAACGAATAAACGTAATAAACACAATAAATGAAATTACGTATTGTTATTACAACTACTTTGATAAACTATCAAGAACATACAGCATTATTCTTAATAATTGTATCTTACAGCTTTTATTAGTGATCCAAGCCCCTGGACTATAAAAATCTTTTTGTTTGGCATTATCTTTTACCAGTTTTTTTTATTTGACATACCAGTTTTTTTTATTTGACAACACTGTCAAAAACATTGAAGCACAGTTTCGTATTGTTAACGCTGTAGAGAAGGTACGTTCGTGAACTTTTTTTACAAAATACCTTTAACCGAAAGTGACAGGATTGAAATATTAATGATGATTGGTATTGGCGATAAGATGCGGACTCAACAAGAGGTATGCCGATTATTCCATGAAATGCACCCAGATCGTGATCCTATTTCACAATCTACGGTAAGTAGAATAGAGCGAAAATACAGAGAATTAGGACATGTGAGGGATGCAGCAAGGCAAGGTAGACCAAAAATTGATGAAAATATTCAACAAGACATAATTTTGTCGGCTGTAGAAAATCCACACTGTACAGTGCGAGGATTATCTAGGGATTTTGGTATTGGAAAGTCTTCAGTATCAAACATTTTCAAAAAGGTAAAATACCATCCTTATAAAGTACGTCTCATCCATGAATTGGCTAAAGACGACTTTGACCGAAGAACTGAATTCTGCGAGTATATGATGAACCAAAATAACAATTTCATTGATAACGTTTTATTTTCGGACGAGGCAACGTTTTATTTGAACGGTCATGTTAACCGGCAAAACACCCGTTATTGGTCTGATGAAAATCCACACTGGATGCAAGAGTACCATACGCAAAGACCACAAAAAACTAACGTATGGGCTGGTATTGTGAGAAATACAATTATTGGTCCATATTTTTTCGATGAAAACTTAACAGGAGCATTATATCTAGATTTCCTACAAAATACATTAATTCCTGATCTGATCCAGCTTTTTCCTGATATTCAAATACCCACTAATGTAGACCGCAGAATCTGGTTTCAACAGGATGGCGCACCGCCACATTACGCAGTAGCTGTGCGCAATTTTTTAAACACAACTTTTCCACAAAGGTGGATAGGAAGAAGGGGACCAGTGGAATGGCCTGCTAGATCACCTGATCTGAACCCATTAGAATTCTTTTTATGGGGTTATTTAAAATCTAAAGTCTACTTTAACAGACCTGGAAATATCCCTCAACTACAAGACCGAATCAGACAAGAAATACAGAGCATAACACCCGCTATGCTACAGAATGTTAGAGACGAAAGTAATGCCCGGTTCAGTCATTGTCTAACGGTCAATGGAGAACAATTTGAACATTTATTGTAAATTTTCGTTCGTTTGTTTGTTTTTGGAAGTGTATCACATTAATTGCATAACTATATAATTCCATTTAATTTGTTTATTACCTTCAGTAACGTATTACTTTCCATAAACAATTTTCATATTTTTTTTTGCATTTTTGCCCACCCTGTACCAATTTGAAGCAACATATTATACATTTTTGGAATCAGCTCAGCAAAGGCAATTTGGAAATTGAAAAAAAAGGGGGGGTTCCATTTGAAAAAAATGGTGATGACGTCATTACACGAAAGTGGTTCACCCTGTATATTAGATTATGATTTGAAACAATAGTAAATTGAAATCAAAAATCGACCTGTTTTGGGAATTCCTAATTTTATTGTTCATTTAGCCAATAATGAATTTATGCGTTACTTTATGGACGCACTGTATAGAGTAGGTACATATGAGGGGTTAAGAAGTGAAGTGGATTAAGTCCTAAAAGCTAATTATGGAGAAAATAAAGGTTAACGTTTTTTAATCTTTATTAATTAAATCTCAACACATCTGGAAAAAAAAACAAACAAAATGATTAATTATACTTTATATCCGAGAATACCGATCATGCTTTATATTATACAGCTGTAAACTAAAATAACTAAAAGTACTACTGCGGTAATTTTTAAAATCAATTGTTTATAATTTTTTGGACTTGAACCATTTTATAAGTGAAAATATTTTACATTTTAAACATAAACAGGTTCATAGGGACATTTTTCTTCATCAACTAAGGATTTATTGTCTACGCCTTGTCTAGTGTTTCCTTCAACAGGTAAATTTTTATAAAAATTGTGGTTTATGGGCGGGATGACTCAAAAATCTTTCATGTGTTGCTTTTTAGATTCGGTTACAGTACGTCTAGATGAATACAGTTGGTCCTGTTGGATGGTAGTTAATGATGAGATTTTTCTTGCTCGTGCAGTTTTATTTAAATCAACAGTTTCAAAAACAATGTCTTCATTAAGAGTTTCTTTAAACTTTAGGGATATTGATGATGACCTTTCAAAACGCAACCACCTGATTTTTAACCATAAAAAATCATGGCCCGTTACAGTTTTCTCTCTATTTTGTATAGCTGATTCCAAAGTTTTGGTTGATTTAAATTCTTCCCTTTTCATTTCAACAACTCTAAATTTAGGTTTCGCTTTCTTTGCTTCTCGTGCTATGTTTATCCAATCTTTTCAATTACTCCGAAGCCGGCATCGTTGGGCAAAAACGAATAACCCGACACTAAAAATTCCAGGTCTATAGTATCCACAGCCATATTTGGATCTTGTACTAATTTTGGCAGGGAGAGGGACATTTTTATATTCCTATTCTGACCTTTGCATGAATCAGAATACAATGTAATGTGTCTATGATTTGCTGCTTATTCTTTTAAGTGTTTTACCACACATGATGCGAAATATTGTGAACCGCGACATTCTTCTGTCTTATCATACATATACATAAATTCAGTTCCTGCATTAAATGAATGTACGCCAAGGTTGTAAACATATACATTTTTCTTGTAATATGTTACAGATGTTAAAAGTTTAGGAAATGGTAGGGATTTTTGCAGGTCGAAAGTTAATACATATCTAAATTTTAATTTTAATTGAGGCA